GATGTGGGGTTGGCTGGACTGATGGCTGCGCTGAACTGGGGTTGCGGTTGATGGAGGTGGGGGAGGGGGGTGACCTGAGGGACAGGATTAATTGCTGGGCATGGGATGGATAGATGTGGGGTGACAGCTTCTGCAGCAGGGGTCAAAATCACCTTATCCAATACATTTGAGAGAGTGGGAAAGACTAATTGTCTCAGACCCACACCCTTGGGGTGGATAGGGGAAGTTCAACAACAACAACAAAAAAACAAAAACAAAAAAAGACCAAAAATACAATATAGTCTTCTTTCTAAAATTTTCATTATTTTTGGGCCAATCTCATGATTTTGAGAGGATTTTTGACTCATGATTTTTGATCTCTTGAGGCTGGCAATGCTGCATTCTAATTAAAATATTAGAATGATGTAATAGCAAAGCACATGCAAAATGGTTTAAGAAATGGCTAACTGATAGATCTCAAACAGAAGTTGTCAGTGGGGGCTCATCATTGAAAAGAAGTGTTTCTACCCAGGATTGGCAGAGATCACTACTAGGCCTGATGCTGTCCAACACTTTCAGCGATACGCTAAAAGTAAATATAAAATCACTGCTGATAAAATTTGCAATTGACACAAATGTTGGCAGCGTGGTAAACAATTATGTGGACAGAGCAATCCTACAGAGCGATATGGATCGCTTGATAAACTGGGATCACTGATACACAATACATTTTAATACAGCCAAATGCAGAATAAAGTCCAGACCTGTAATATATGTACTTGGTGCTTTAATAGGGCCAGTTTCACAAAGCTGAAAACAATTATGAGGCAGATTATCTGGGAGGAAGAATTTAATCAGAAAAATGTGAATGATAATTTGGAATCATTTAAGAACACCTTACTAGATGCCCCAAAAAGCAATTCCACAATTGAGGAAGAAGGCCATACTGGTTAAAAAACACCACCCCCTGGTTTAGAAGGGAAGGGAAGTCAGCTGTTAAAAAAAATGCAACAAATAGAAAAATGGGGAAGTTGATAGTAATGAATATAAACCAGTTAGGAATTGTTAGGCAAGGAGGCACAAGGAGAAATTTATGGCTAGCAGAGTTAAGGCCAATAAGAAGAAGTTTTTGAAATATATCAAGAACAAAAAAGAGCCCTGACCACAATATTGGTCCATTACTAGATGGGAATTGTAGAATTATCAGTAATAATGCAGAAAAGGCAGATGTGTTCAATAAATATTTGTGTTCTGTATTTGGGGAAAAAACAGATGCTAGAGCCTCCTTATATGGTGATGATAACACTCTTTCCATTCCACTAGTATCTCTCGAGGCTGTTAAACAGCAGCTACTAACATTACACATTTTTAAATCAGCAGGTCCAGATAATTTGCATCAAAGAGTTGGCTGAGGAGCTTACTGAATCATTAATGTTAATTTTCAATAAGTCTTGGAGCACTGGGGAAATTCCAGAAGCTTGGAAGAAAGCTAAAGCTGTGCCAATTTTTAACAAGGGTAAGTGGGATGACCACAATAATTATAGGTCTGTCAGCCTGACATCAATCCCAGGCAAGATAACGGAGTGGTTGATACAGGACTCGATTAATAAAGAATTAAAGGAAAATAATGTAATTAATGCAAATCAACATGGGTTTATGGAAAACAGATCCTGTCAAACTGCTTCATATTTTTTAGATGAGATTACAAGTTTGATAAAGGTAATACAGTTGATGTAATATACTTAGATTTCTGTAATGTGTTTGACTTGGTACTGCACAACATTTTGATTAAAAGTATAGAATGATATAAAATTAACATGGCACACATTACATGGATTTAAAACTAGCTAACTGATAAGACTCAAAATATATCTGTAAATAGGGAATCGTCATTGAGCATGTGTGTTTCCAGTGGCATCTCACAATGATTGGTTCTTGGCCCTATGCTATTTAACATTTTATTAAGGACTTCGAAGAAAACATTAAATTATCATTGATCAAGTTCGCAGATGAAACAAAAATTGGGGCATTGGGTAAATAACGAAGAAGATAGGATGCTGATTCACTCAATCTGCATCATCTGGTTAACTGGGTACAAGCAAACAATATGCATTTTAACAGAGCTACGTGTGAATGTACAAATCTAGGAACAAAGAGTGTAGGCTATACTTACAGGGTGGAGGACTCCATCCTGAGAAGCAGTGACTCTGAAAAAGATTTGGGGGTTGTGGTAGATAATCAGCTGAACATGAACTCCCAGTGTGATGCTATGGCCAAAGGAGTTAATGTGATCCTGGGATGCATAAACGGGAAATTTGAGTAGGAGTAGAGACACTATTTTACCTCTCTCTTTAGCACAACTGCAACTATTGCTGGAATATTATGTCCAGTTCTGGTGCCCGCAATTCAAGAAGGTTGTTGATAAATTGGAAAGGGTTCAGAGAAAACCTGCCTTATAGTGATGGACTCAAAGAGCTCAGTCTATTTAGCTTAACCAGGAGAAGTTTAAGGAGTCACTTGATTACACTGTATAAGTACCGACATGGGGAACAAATATTTAATAATGGGCTCTTCAGTCAAGCAGAGCAAGGTATAACACAATCCAAAGGCTGAAAGTTCTACTCAGATTCGAAATAAGGTGTAAATTTTAACAGTGAGAACACTTAACCATTAGAACAATTTACCTGTGGTCATAGTGGATTCTCCATCACTGACAATTTTAAATCACAATTGGATGTTTATCTAAAAGATCTGCTCTAGGAATTATTCTGGGAAAGTTCTTTGGCCCATGTTACACAGGAGGTCAGATTACATGACTACAGTGGTCCCTTCTGGCCTTGGATTCTATGAAACGTTATACATCTAAGGAATACAGGCCATACCAGAATGGTGGTTGAAGTGGACAAACAACTCAACATGATCTCCCAGAGCAATGCTGCAGCAAAAAAGGCTAAAGCAATCCTTGAATGCATAAACAGGGGAATAGGGAGTTGGAGCAGCCATAGGAAAGTGATTTTACCTCTGTATACAGCATTGGTGAGATCAGTACTGAAATACTGTGTACAGTTCTGATGTCCACAGTATAAAAAGGATGTTGAAAAATTAGAGAGGGTGTGGGAAAGAGCCACAAAACTTGAAGGGCTGGAGAAAATGCCTTACAGTGAGAGACTTAAAGAGCTCAGTCTGTTAAGCTTGTCAAAAACAAGACTAAGAGGTGACTTGAATACTAGGGAGAAAATAGCGGGTACTAAAGGATTAATGATAACCTAGCAGAGAAATATCTACCCACATATCTACACCAGCAACACCATCACAGGACCTAACCAGATCAGCTACAACATCACCGGCTCATTCACCTGCACTTCCACCAATGTTATATATGCCATCATGTGCCAGCAATGCCCCTCTGCTATGTACATTGGCCAAACTGAACAGTCACTACGCAAGAGGATAAATGGACACAAGTCAGATATCAGGAATGGCAATATACAAAAACCTGTAGGAGAACACTTCAACCTCCCTGGCCACACAATAGCAGATGTAAAGGTAGCCATCTTACAGCAAAAAAACTTCAGGACCAGACTCCAAAGAGAAACTGCTGAGCTCCAGTTCATTTGCAAATTTGACACCGTCAGATCAGGATTAAACAAAGACTGTGAATGGCTATCCAACTACAGAAGCAGTTTCTTCTCCCTTGGTGTTCACACCTCAACTGCTAGCAGAGCTCCTCACCGTCCCTGATTGAACTAACCTCGTTATCTCCATACTGATTTATACCTGCCTCTGGAAATTTCCATTACTTGCGTCTGATGAAGTGGGCATTCACCCACGAAAGCTTATGCTCCAATACTTCTGTTAGTCTTAAAGGTGCCACAGGACCCTCTGTTGCTTTTTACAGATTCAGACTAACACGGCTACCCCTCTGATACTAGCAGAGAAAGGTATAACAAGAACCAGTGGTTGGTAACTGTAGCAGATAAATTTGAATTAGAAATAAGGCCCAATTTTTTTTACAGTGAGGCTGATTAACCACCGTCCACTGGAACAAACTACCAAGGGGAGTGGTGGATTTTCCAGCTCTTGAGGTCTTCAAATTAAGCCTGGATGCCTTTGATGCACATCTGGAAGACATGTTAGGCCTTTTCTACACTATGGGGGGGAGATCGATCTAAGTTACGCAACTTCAGCTACAGGCCTTTTCCTTCATGTACCCATTAATTTCCATTCTTAACCGCTTTACAGAGCTAGTCCTCAACACCATTGCCCTGTGGAGACACTGGCTGAAAAAAGGCAGAGCTTGAAGAATTCTAATCCTTCATGTGGGATATCTTAGACCTCATCAACACAAGCAATATGCCTCAATTCCAGCATTGACAGCTGCTGGGAGCTTGGGTGACTTCACCAGGGCCAGCCCCTAAGGAGAAATTCTGGCTCCGATACCCCATAAACATTCTGAGCTAGCTTTAATCTAGCAACTGCGAGCACCAATAGCAGTGAAGCTAGGCAGCACAGGCTTCCACATGGGCTGTACAAAGCTGCCCAGGACGAGCTCTGTTCTCCAGTGGCTAGATTGGGCTGAAGTCCATGCTGCCATGGCTTCACTGCTACTGGTACTCACGCTAGCTAAATCGAAGCTAGCTCAGGTATGGCTGCACCTGCTGCAGTCACACCCCCTGACTGCAGTGTAGGCAAACCCTCAGAGGTTCAGCATGAGTGCTGCCTTATGACACAAACCACAATAGCACCCACAGCAGTTAGTAACACAGCCAGCTGAGATCTAATACTCTCTTTCTGACCAGTCCCATCATTAATCCAGTACGTTGGGGCTGAGCTGATCATCCAGAATCAGACAGGACCCATTGTGTGCTAAGGGAATAGCAAGTTCAGTCAAAAGCTACAGACCAACAGTACAGGGCAGCATTTTAGGATGTCAGAACAAGTGAAAATAGTGCCGTAAGAAGCTCTAGAGAGAGAGGCAGTGAAGTACATAGCTCATAATTTGGAGAGAAATAATCCCTTACCCGGCATGCACACTAAGCTGTTGGTTCCGGTGGCCCATACTGAGTTGGCACTTCCTTGACAATCACATTTGCAAGCTTTACTGTGCCAGTGCTCCAATCGGTCATCCTAATGTAATACAAAAGAGACCAACATAGCTGTCATATGCCGTGAGAGGAGACTGGGCCTGATTCTTCAGAGCCTTGCACCTTGTGTAGTCACTTATCTCTCTCCAGTGTGAGTGCAGAACACTACCATTGTGCTATGGAAGCTCTTCGCTCGTGCTTTGCATGGATGTAAAAGATGGCACAAGGCAGTGGAAAAATCAGACCCGCTGTATTTATAGAGATTTGCCAGGAAACTTTATTGTCCTAGGGTCTGTTCACAGTACATGTAAAGCTTTTAGTATGCTACAAAGGCTTGACCCTGCTTTCACTGACGTAAATAAGAGTTTTATCATTCAATGGAAACAGAAATGGTCCCTAAACGAGGAAGTCACAGGAGCTGAGGATGAAATTCATCCCATTACAAAGAGCCAGAGAAGACTCATGCACCAAACTTAAGTTTTATTGTGTAGGTGTGAATTTCACCCTAAATAAATAATGCCATCTAATGCTGCAAAGTATTACTCTTGGGGTTCATGAGACTTCCATTAATGTAACCCAAATTTACATATTTTTGTTTATGCATCATGAATATTTAAGAAAATCTTCCAAACAATCATCTCTGCTAAGGAACCAGTATTCTGAAACTCAGGGCCAGACTGTGCTGTTTATTAAATTGGTATAAATTCAGAGTAACTCAACTGACATCAGTGGAGTTATACTGTTTTGATACACTGGTGCCATTGACATCTGAATCTAGCCCTAACAGAGTATAAATTAGGACCAATTCTCAAAATTGGATGATATATTATGGCATTATTGCATGGGGATTTGTAAGTCAGTGTCTCAAAATTGTGTTAATGTCTTGACCAAGCCTGGGTGATATCAGAAAATTGTGGTTTTTAGAGAATGTATGGTAAGGATGACTGGACAGAATGAACCATAATTAACACTCCTTCCATTCTTGTTAGAGCACAAATAATTTGTGATATTGTAGCTCTGTATGATATTTACAAAGCTAGCTTTGTGCTCTCCCACTCTGAGAACCAGCCTCTACTGGGGATTTTTAATCCCCCAGTATAAATGTGCACATGGGTGCAAGACTGAGTCTTCACCAATGTGTCTGACTCTGGTAACCTCCTGGAGTAAGTCACACAGATGCAAGCCGTGTTTTGCACTTGTGCAGTATGAGTCTACATTAGGGGGTTTGTACCAGTGGAACTGCATCAATGTGGTTACACTGGTGCAAATATCTCCATTCTAGACACGCCCTCAGTGTTGTACTTTTACCAGGAGGTTGCATTCGGGACTCACAATTTGTCAGACCACTCTGTTTATTAGCAAAAGCGCTCTGCTAATATACCCAGATAATGTGTGTGTCATGCAAGGCCCAAACTACCTTATTTATACAGATAAAAAGGGCAAGAACTTAACAAGATGACAAAGGGAGCAGAACTGATAAGTTTACCTGGGGCTAGACGCACGTATCTTATTTCCTTATTAACTCTTACTGATCTCCTGTTAATGTCCCACCATCAGCTTAAGTGGACCCATTGTTCAATACCTTAAAGATTCTCTTCCTGTCAACTTTATCTCAACATTCCTCATTCCTGCTTAAAGGAACATACAGCATTTCTTTAATCCATTCTACTTTTACAATATAATTCATTCTTTCACACTAACAAACAAGTACAGAAGACCTTCACCCATAATTCATATTTAGGCAGAATAAGCCACAAACACAGGGACTAATCCTGCAGCGTGCTGAGCACCTCAGCTCCCACTAACTGCAGTGGGAGTTCACTGGCTAAGCACAATGCAGAATTGGTCCCAGAGAGTACTTAGATAACAGTCAGATAAGTTTAATGGACTTACCTCACCAGGCGACAATGCCAGCGTGGCTGTGTGGATGAGATAATCAAGCATGGTAGAAAGAATAAAAAGAGAGTTAAGAATCGAAGGTGCTGCAGAGAAAGCCTGCTGTTCTGAAGAGTTAAATATATTTCACACAAGCTGACTTCCATGTGCTAGCAGAAGGACATGGACTACTGGGCAGGAAGAACACACTAATATATGGGTAAAAACCCAGCCTCACTGAAGTCAATGACAAAACTCCCATTGACTTCAGTGAAGTCAGGATTTCACCCTAAGTATTTGTATCACAATCATTTTGTGTGACTAGAATGAAAGAAAATTAAATTGAAACTGAACTCCACCAATCAATATTATACAGCAGACTAGTTGTTTTCTAGCAGTGGTACCTCAGACAAGGCCACTGTGGCCGATAAAGGGAAGATTTACAGTTTTCTAAAATTTTCTGACCTTGTTTATCTTCTGCCTCCCCCTAAACTGTGGCTTCTTCAAGCACTCTTCCTGATTACAGGCCTGCTCCATCTCCCACTGAAATCAATAGGACCGTGTCTATTGACTTTAATTGAGAGTTCAATAGGGCCCTATCAGATTTGCTCGAAATAGAAAAAAGTACCATGTGACTGCTGAAAACCAAACATTACAACTTGAACATCAAATGTCCAGTGTCCAATACCTGCAGTGAACTGGCAAACTGCTGATGATCGAGTCATAGAGTAGAAAAAAAGTGAATAAATTTGAATGAGGAACTAGAAATCTGCATGCACATGTTCTGTGAGCAGTAAAAGAGGCTCTTTCTATCAAATAAATTACTGTCTGTGAATTGTTCACTGAACTCCAGTTACAGGTTATTCATTCCTACACTGGGCCAGAGCTGAACCTAGCAAGGTTTAAATAATGCTAATAGTTAATAATGTCTTACATGTATATAGCAACTTTCATCACATAATATTCCCAAAATGCTTCACAGTCATAATCAATTGAAATACAAACTATTGACAAGGATCAATTTATCCACTGCTGAAACGTAGACTCCTCTCAGATGTGGCAATGGCTTTGCTAGTATTCATCAACACTCTCAAATGAAGAACACAACAAAGAACATGACAGAGGTGAGAGCTTGAAAACTATACGATGGATTTTTAAAAAAAAATACGCAACATTTGTTTTAACCTCAGTCCCCTGAGTCAGCATTTCTGATGTCAGCAATTTACAACAATAAACAGAGACAGATTTATGTGGAATAGAGGTAAATTTGGGTCTAAAATTAATGATGCACTTTACAATCAGGTACAGCTGAGAGCTGTGTGGGCCACAAGCCCTACCCTACTTCCACTGAATTCAGTGGCACAACTTAAACTGACTATAATTGGAATTTGGATGAGCGCAGACTAAGAAAAAATGACTAAATATAAAGTAGAGACCTCTGGATTTTGGCCCTTTGTAAAGAATAAATTCATGATAAAAAAACTTAATTATGCAATTCAAATGCTTTAACTTCTTTCAGCACAAATGACTGAAATGTAAGTAATATGATCAAGGTAAGAATAGAACATCAAAGTCCCTTCATATTTTGGTTCTAATGATACAGTGTGTTTCGTATCCATTTTGTACTGTACTTTACTGCCTTTAATACCGTGAAAATAAATGTTCAGATCAGGTCATTAGCAGCACAGAACATGTTTACACAAATGCTGAGCAGGTGTAGTCAGTTTGGTGCACTTTGGGTCACTGAATTACAGAAATAAAACCAGAGACACTAAATTCTGTCAGCAAACAGACCACACAGTGATTTTAGTTTTTATTTCATTTGGTGGTGTATGCATTTGGGTAAAGCCCAGAGTTCTTACTCCTAACTCAGTAAAAAATACCATTGATTAGAATGAGTAGCTTTGCCTCAGTAAGGAGTAGAAGGTTCAGTCCTTTCTGCTGCATATGACGTCCATTTTGCTAAGCAATGAGGCATGCCTACTTTCTATTAATTCTAGAGCTGGGCCTAAATCAAAACCCTAGTTCTGAACATCCACAAGCACTGAGGATGTCTGCATTTGATGCCTCACTGGCCACTCTCTAGAATGGGCCACACCAACCCCCCTGCCAGAGCTAAGAACTCCAAATGTTGGGGGTGTTTAGATCCAGATATAAAGTTGGTGGCTTTGGCCCTATCTAAATAATGTACTGTTGAGTATCTTCTGACTTTATAATTCTCTAATAACTTATACAAATGGATTATTATACACTCTTTCTATTATTATGGGGCAAATCTTGGGCCCTTTGAAGTCAGAGTGAGATTCAGTGAGAACAAGGTTTAGCCTGTGGTGAGTAGTTGATCAGTTCACAGGTAATTCAAGGACTGTAAAAGCGAGAGCACAATAAGAAGAAGTTAAGAATTTATTCGAGCTGGTTGGAAATTTTCAAAATTCAAAAGTTTTCAACCAAAATGGGACAATTTTTTTGCCAAAATGTTTGCCAAAAAAAAAAAAAATCAAATTCTAAAATTTTTCAGTGAAAAAAGGAATTAGTTTGCAAAAAAAAATTGTCACTGTTTTTTTACGAGCTATAGTTTTTTGCTGAAAAGTGTTGAAGTCCAGCAATTTTCTGTGGAAAAGGGGATAATTTTGTTATGAAAAATTTTCTTGTTTGTTACCAGCTCTAAAATTTACTCTGGAATTAGACACAAAAAAGAAGTGATGCTGGTGTCCTATTTCATGTCACATGGATTCTTGTGAAAAGAAGAACCACCGCCAGTTTTCTATGTCTATACTGGATTTATGTTGGGGTGCTGGTGGCTTACGGTCAGTTGCTTGTGGGGCCGTTTTGTGCCCTGGCCTCTGGAAGCGCTGTTGCCCTAGAGCTGAACACTGAGCGAATGGGAAGAGTCGGCATGAGGAGCAGCACTAGGATGGGGGTGGGGCAGAAAAGGATCAGCCTCAGGAAGGAGAGCTTCTCCTTCCCTGTCCTCATTCCTGCGGGGTCCCAGTGCCCATGCATTTTGTTGTGAGTTGTTAGCACCGGGTAGCCCGCCTTGGGCACTGTCCCTCTGATTGAGCAGTCCTGCTCTCCCCACACTTTTAGCCTTCAGCTTAGGCTCGACTCACTGATCCCTGCTCTCCACCTCCACCCGCTCCCTTTTCTGTACTGGTGTCCTGCATCTTGTCTGCTTTAGGTCGAGATTGTACAGTCTTCAAGACAAGAACTATGCCTTATTCTATGTTCTGTAAAGCACCATGACCATCTGAGACTTAATAATTACAAATTGATAATCTTCTGTGCACCATAGCTGAGACCCTGCAAAGACTGTTAGCTCAGCTCCAAGTGGGGCTTCATATCACCCCTTCTGCACCCTACCTTATCTGCCCTGAATATTCTGGATAACTTCCTTTTGTAGTTGGGGAAATCACAGTGAGTGGATCTTTGACAAGTACAGTTAATTTGGTGGCAGCAGTTACACTGCAGACCCAACATCTAGCTTTTAAAAAAAATGTACATTGAAGATTGTCACATGGCTGAAAGCAATTAACTGGAGATCAAACCAAGTCAGGGTAGGTCAGTTACAAGAGAGGTAAACTGCCATGCAGTATATAAAAAAACCCAGCACCATTTAATGAAAGGAGCAGGTAGTTGCAGCCTCTCATAAAATTTCTAAATGTTATTAGAAAAAAAAAGAGTTAATTGGGGAAGGAAGGCATACAGCTTATTGGGGTCTAAAATTATACTGTTAAGAGGAAACAAATTTTCAGTCAAAGGAAAAGAACAGAATTGACAAAATTTAAAGAGCATGGATACTACTAAGATCACGTGTGGCAGTGCATATTACATATACAACACCTAAAGGATGCTAGAGCATACTTCCAAGAGTGATTATGTTTTATGACAGATGTAATAACATATGAGAGATCTATTTATGAAACAGTGAACCCTTTTTAGATTATATAAAACATGATTAAAATAGATCATGTTATATGACCAAATAAACTCAAGTAAATCAAAATATTGTAAGCACAGACATGTGGAGAATGTTTATTTTTGTTTATTTGCTTCTTTAAATGAACATTGTCAAACTAAAAATCACACTTCTGCTTGGAAATATTTTGCCTATTATTTGTGTAGATAACAGCTAAGTATACCATAAAGAGAGAAATTAGTAAATCGTATTTTCTCTTTTTATAGTTTGTGTCTTTGGCAGTACTTTGGGCACAATCAATGTAATTGTTTCACCAGTATAATCAGGTAAGTTAGTCAGTTACCCCTCTTGTTTGTGTGAGTCATTTCACACAGTAACAGGGCAAAGAAAAACATGTTGACATGAAAAAATACAAAAACTGGACAGGAAAACTAAAGAAATAGATGATGTACCTAAAACTACTTCTAATTCATTTTCTGAATCTGACTTAGTTTCAAATTGATAGTGTCTCGTTAATGTCACAATATATATACAATTATTAAATGGAGTTTTATAATACAACACTTAGCACTTGAAAGGGTTAAGACACTGTACAGATATTATTTATTTTATCCTTTTAAGCCCCACTCTGAGGTACACGGACCACAGGTAAGTACTATCATACCCAGTTTGTAGGTAGGGAAACTGGAATAGAAAGCCGAAGTGAATTACCCAAAGCCACACAAAGCATCAGCAGCAGAGGCAAGATTAGAACTGAGACTTCCCCAACTCAGTGCTTATTACCCCAGCCCATACTACCTTTTTATAGAGAAGTTAGTAGAAGTCATCATTATGCAGATGGGTAAAAGTCCATCCAAACGTATTCCTTAGTATTCTGCTGTTTGTGTTTATTGAAAAGAAAATACAACTTTGGGTCTGTTTGCTTTTTGCACGCAGTAAACTAAATACTCAGCATCCATGTAACCCTACTGACATCAATGGGGTAGCACAGGTACAAATGAAAGCGGAATTAGGCCTAAGGCATCTGTATATTTTCCATACTTTTGATGTCTCCTGTCCTTCAATTATAATATTTGAGATGTTCATACATGCTTGGCTGTGTTAGACTTACAAATGAGTTCCTGACATTATAAAACCATTGACATGTATATCAAATTTTGGTCCTAAACTACTTGTCAGTGTCCTTTTCAACAAGACGAGGGAATATCTGGGTTTTAAAAAATAGAAATATGTATAATATATTTATGTAGTAGTTTATACAATGAATGTAATAAATAAGATATAATCCAAAATTTAAGACTAATTTGGTCTCTGTGGAATAAGTAATACTATAAAAATTCAAATATCTCTGCTGTAATTACAGTATTAAATGCAATTTTTTATAATTTCCCCTCCCCTCATATCTTACAGTGCTGGTTACCTCCTGGCCTCTCTACCAAAGGTGAATTCATTCCATTGGTGCTGTAGAAATCTAATGAACACCTTAGGATCTCTGGGGATAAGTGATGCTATATAAATATATAACATCATACTGATACATATTCAGTGCAATTCACCCCTGTGCAGAGGACCAGCCTGAGCTAGTAAGCCCTTTTTAGAGGACATAAGTGGCAGAGGGCAAATGTGCTGGGGGTGAAATCCTGGGTCCGTTGAAATCCATAGTTTTGCCATTGACTTCTCTGGGGCCAGGATTTCACCCATAGTATTTAAATTGCATTTAAGTGGTGCATAGGCCTCTTGCTGGCCCTCTGCACAGGTTATCTCTCCTTTTGTGAGCCATTTATCAAATATTTCAGCCCTTTGACGTTTCAGCTGTAAAATGTGCTCTTTGGGCCAGATGCTCAACTTGTGTAAATTGGACACACTCCACTGATTTCATACAGTCTGTGAAACGACAGTGATTTACACTAGCTAGCAATCTGCTCTTGTGTGAATTGTGTTACGGGGACCCTTCTGTTCAGGTTTAACAACCAGATTCAGTCAGGTTCTTGTGTTTTTCCAGGGCTTACTCCTTGGGTGCTACAAAAGCAGCACACACACACCAACAACGTACGTTTCGTGTGCCTTAGTCCTGAGCTGCAGGGTTCAAATGCTTGCGATATAGTAACTCAGGACAAAAGTTTCAAAACTGCCAAAGTGATTTAGGAGCTTGTGCCCCATTTTTCAGAATGGACTTAGGCACTTAGTGGTCAGTCAGTCCAGGATTTTACCCCCTGTCAGAGGGGCCCAGCAAACTTACCGTTGCCACTTATAACCTCTAAATAGGGCTTTACTGGAACTTAAGTGAAGCAGAGGTCTTGGGCTGTTCCTCAACACAGGGGTGAATTCCACTGAATGTGTATCATGTGTACCTTGTGTATGGGACAGATCTGAACAAAGTTGATTTCAGTGGGAGTTAGGCACCTAGGTGCTTTTGAAGATCCTACTAGGTGCCTATCGGCATCTTAAAGCACCTAAATACCTTTGAGAATCTGTCCCTAAGGGCCTAGTTTGCTTTTGAAAATGGGACTTCAGCTCTTAAGTTTCAAGGCCCCTTTCAAAATTTGACCTGAAGTCTTCACACCAATACAACCCTCGGCTGTTCTACAAAGATTGCCAGTAGACATCATCAGAGCTGCTGTGGGGCATAAGGGGGACCTGTTCTCCTATCTGCTATCCTGTTGACGTGTCCCCCTCAGTGCAGTTGCAGGTCTTGCGCATTTTCACTCCCGATCCCCGCTCTAACTTTATTCATGTGCTTTCTCCACAGCCAATAGGGAGCCAGTTGTGATGCAGCTATGTGTGTCTCCTGGGCTGAGGCCACCAGTTCATTTCAGTAACTACCAACCAGGGCAGGATTTGAGCCAGAGACATAAATGGTGAAAGGTCAGTATCTCATTAGCCATCTCCTGAACCAGCCACTTCCCCAAGAAGAGACAGATGCTATTTTGTTTTAAACTTCTCTCTGCTCTTTAAACTTGCTAGAAATGTTCCATATCCTTTCCCTTTAACACAAACTAGAAAATAATGATATAAACATCATGTTTTGTGACCTGGGGTAGGCAGGACACAAATATGTATTTGGAAATTTAGGCATCTGAATTGAAATCCTGGCCCCGCTGAAGTCAAAAACTTCAATTGAATTCAGTGGGACAAGGATTTCACCTCAGGCATCTTAATTACAGATGATCAAAAAAGAAAAATTATGAAGACTTCAAAGTTTAAAAATTGATTCTGTTTCACAAAATGGATCCACTTCAGAGTTCTAGTTTTTTTATTTTTATGTGTGAAAAGTCAATCATTTTTTAATAAAAAATGTTATCAAAAACCACTATCAAAATGATTATTACAATGTTTTGGTAAATGGAAACAATTGCAACAACCATTTTGATAATGTTTTTGATGTTTTCAGTAATGTTTGATACATTTTTCAATAAAAAGGTATTGTGAAAAGTATTTGCAAAAACCAAATAATTTCAAAAACAGTTTTTCAAAATGGGTTTTTTTGCTTTTGAAAAAGGCCCTTTTTTAATTATTCTTTTTCATCTGAGAAATGTTGAGCAGCTCTGATCTTGAGATTCACACCATTCTTCCTTAGTATTGATAGGCATAAGGTATATTGCTGCCATTAGATGTATTGGGGTAGCCTGGGTGTAACTTAAGGTGGCCCTTAATATGATTTGAATGTCTTGTTGTTAAACCCACAGCTAATACAGAAGAGGCTCATTTTTTTAAAATGTAGGGATGAGTTCATTTTTCCATGCATATACAGACACCGACAGAAGAATGCAGAATAAACATGTCACATTCAATGCGTTAAAACATATTTGTGTCAATAGAAAGCTCGGTGTGCACTTTATTTCCATATGGATTTGGGACCAACAGCTGCTCAGGCACTAGTCACAAGAGCTTGCCTTAGCACCATCTGCTGCTGCTTTGGTAGGGCCCATTGCAAATATAAGAACCAGCCAAAAGGTGCATGTCAAACTGAAGAGAACAACTAAATTGGTTAGTACAGGATAACTGCTCATAGCTTACGTGACTGACCTGATGGCACCTTCTTGATGGTGTAAGCTACATGGAGAAGCTGATGGGAATTCTAAGGGATTGGGATAAAAGACTGGACCGCAGTCATTTTAACGTACAGGAGGTAAATGTGCAGTATAAAAGGCACTTCAGTGAGGAAAGAGAGAAAAACATGAAATACAGAAAGCAAAGTTTGGAAAGTGATGGCGCAAGTAATTTTTTGCAGAAATGTGGGTGCCCAAT